AGTGTGCTAAACAGATAGTAATTCGAAATACTGATGTCTGCAAAACTCTTAATATTCGCTCAGCTTGTCCACCTTCCCATCTGTTCTGTCTTACACAGTTCTGTAAAGACTGTCTGGATGCTCTGAATTTAGAATAGATTAGGGACACCGATTCTTTTAAATATCTCCAGGAAGTTTTCCATGATCACCAAAATATTCACAATATACTGGATAAAGCCAATGCATAAAATGTTAGGTGAGTTTTTGGGATTCTGAGTGCATTTTAAATAAGTTAAACTTTAAAAATCAAATTATATAATTAAATACTTATCTAAAATGTAGTCCACCCACAATTTTATCCCATTTCATAAAATGTAAAATATGTATCTGTTTAGCACAAAATACCTTCATGAAACTTACAAGCAATTTTAGATGTCAACTTTAAATGTGTGCGGGGGCACAGAGCTTTTCAAACTCCTTTTAGCAGGTCTATGAGCAAAACCATCTGAGGACCAGTGTCCCATGACTTGCTACTAGAGTGGTCCCAGACCACCAGCGTCTCAGGCCCCACCCACAACTGCTGAACCACAACCTACTTTTTTTTAATCCCGTGGGGATTACTATGCACACAGGACAGCCAGTTTGATATGCCTCAGTTTCCCCATTGGTAAATGAGGATTCTAGTCCCTAGCTCAGGGGGTGTATAAAGCCCTTGGCCACAGCAGGGGCACAGAGCAATAGCTATTATTTACTAAATGGGACTCTTGTACCAGCTGCCCAGATGGCCCCTGGCTGGGAGTTCATAAGTACCCCTCTCACCAGGAAGTCAAACAAAGCCCTCTCCTTCCCAGTCTTGGCACATGGGGTCCTGGGGTTTCTCTGCCTTGACTGGATACATCTCCGTGAGTCTGGACTGTTCTTCCAGTTTGGGGCGTCCCACACTTAACGTGGGGTACGACACATCATCACCTCTCCCTCCGAGATCCCAGTGGGAGGCAGTCTCTCCCCATCTCTGCCCTAAACCACAAATCATGTTTGTTAGCACCAAGGAAAGTGAAAACCCAAACAATTCCTCTATAAAATGTTTTTCATAAAATGACTATTTTTTTCTTCAAATAAGAAGAAACCTGGGTTTGCCAGATATTGCCATAATGGAGCACTTTTACAAAGATGGTAACCCAGTAGCATAATTCACAGGGTACCCTGCCTGGGAATACCTCTCTGAGAGCCATAAAAATTCAACAGGACAAAGTAATTTTAAAAACTGAGAGGCAGCCAGGTTCTTTTTTCACCATTTTCTTGGAAATCATTAATCAGAAGTCGCGCAGACTCTGCACTTTCCTGGTACAAAGGCTGAATGCACTTTGACCACCTTGCCACTGATTGACAGAGCCCCACGGAAATGCCCAAGTGTCTGCACTTATGTTTGACTGACTCAAGGGTTTGCAGGGACCGTCGGGCGGACTCTGGCCCCATGTGCCCAGCCCACGATGGGAAGACTCAGCAAGTACCTTCAAGGTCTCCTGGAAGGTCGGGTCCACCGTGTTCCTCTGGACTCCGGTCTTGCGTTTGCCCTGGGAGGATCGGTCAGGCAGCAGATAGGTCTTCACATACCTGGCGGAGACAGGACAAGGTGACATCTTGGGGCCAGGCGCGGGGTGGGGGAGAGAATCACGTATCAGCGTTTTCTTTGCCCTCCTGCCGCTGAACTGGGTTGGAAAGGGCCTGGTGGCCACCACTGACGGTGGACAATGACATGCTGCGTACACAGCTTCTCTTTACAGTCTTCAGCCATCATCCTCTGGAATGTCCCTGAGGGTGGAGGTGAAGCTGTCTGCCTTCCCCACGGCCCACCTGGGTCACCTGTCATTTGGTGATGGCCGTGGAATCAGAGGCTCTCAGGGCTCCACGGTGGCAGATTCTTGGGTCCACCTGGATTAGAGGCCATGTGCCAGTTTTCCCTCCCTCCATCCCCCCAAAAAGTGGAAATGGAAACTGTGTGCCTTACACTTTGCTCTTCCCCCGTGGGGCCTCCCAGCCGTCCTCCTGGCTGCTGAGGACCTGCCCTCTCTGAGCACTCTGGGGCTATAGCTTAGCTGGCGGGGGCAGCGTGACAGAGGCCATCTCTCCACCAGCACTCTGCCCACTCCCTGAAATCTTATTCTAGGTTGATCCCTCCACTCAGGTCCTCACACTGCCCTTTCTGGCTCCTCTGGCAGCTTTATCGATAGCAATGACCCTGTTTGTCCAGGCATCTATCCCCACAGGCTAGGAAAGGCTCAACTTCCCCAAAGCAAAAAAGAACAGTCGCCCTCCCTTGACCGGGGTCTCTCCTGGAGCCCCAGGTTCAGGCGCTTCTTCCTTGTCAATCAAAGTTTTGGGAAAGTCCTCCAGGCTCACTGGCACCAGTTCCTTACTGTTCACATACTCGTAACTTGTGAGATCTCACACATGTAAAACAGGGCGTATAAAATATGCCTGGGTGGCTCAGAGGACTGAAATAAAATGCAAACCCATGTGTCTAATTGGAATATTGGGTTAAGTCCTGTTTCCTCACGTATCTTCGCACAGGTTTCCTGTTACTGACAGTGGAGAATCGACATCTCCAAGTGTTACCACGGAACTGTCTCTCCCTCCCTTCAGCTCCGTCAGGTTTTTGTTTCCTGTGTCTTGATGGGCTCTTATTAGGTGCACAGACATTTATAATTTTGTATATCTTCTTGCTGTACTAAGCCTTTTATTAACATATAATGTCCTTTATTTCTGATCTTGACTGGTACGAGTGCAGCCACCCCTGCTCTCTTTCGGTTACTCGGGACATAACACCATTTCACCTCTCAGCTGGAAAAACATGTCATCTGTGTCTGGACTGTGTGCGACAGGATTTTACTCTTATGTTTCCTACATGGAAAGTCCAATTTCCAGCACCACTTACTGCGGTTCACCTTTCCCGCACCGATTCCTAACGGCCCCTGGGTTACGCGAGTCCCCGCGGGCGCTGGGCCGCAGCGGGACGCTCGGCTCCGCTCTGACCCGCCTGCCCGGCCGCACCCCAGAGCGCTGGCGGGATTCCTGCGGCGTCACCCTAACTCCGACACGGCCCTTTCTTCGCTCTTTTTATTGCAATCATCTTGGTTACTCTCGGGCTCCCCACCAAGCTTCGGGACCCCCGCCCCGCCCCGCAGGCGACCCCGACGCGGGACATACGGGTTGCACCGCTTCCTCCTCTCGTCCCCGAAGGCGAGGTTCCGACAGGCCCCCACGCGGATCTCCAGGGCCCGGCTCTCGGCGCTGTAGCGAACGGCGAGCTCGATCTCCCCGGTGACGCGAGCGTTGTCGAAATTGCCCATCTCCGTACAAGTGCTGTTAATGCTAATCAAACTGCCCTGAAATAAACACGACAGACGCGACAAATTCACCGTTATCAAGACAGCAGATGCATCAAAATTCACGCAGCGCACGCCTCCTGCCTCACATTAAGTGGACAGCGCGCCGGCTTGTTTTTTGCCAAAATAAGTTGCCACATACTCTCTGTTCTAACGAGATGGGGGACCCCCAGAGGTCCTGTCTTGCCCAGATGTGGTCCGTGCCTAGCGACAAAGGTCCGCGACCCTGTTCTCTAACACCCGTCACTCGGGACGGAGCGGACTATCTCCCGCGCGGTGCTGCAGAGGGGACGCTCGGAGGGCAGGCAACGGGTCCGTGGCGGGAGGGCAAGTGGAAGCAGCACGTGCGGGGCTGAGCACCCGTGGTTGGGAAGCAGATCTGGAGGCGACGCTGGCTCTGCGGCTCCTGAGCTGCATAAAGTCGGAATGGAAACCTCAACACTGGTCTCATGGGGTTACGGTGAGGAGTGAATGGAACGAAGCATGTGAAGTATGCAAAGAAACAATAACTGTGTTTACATTCTTATGGGTTCCTAAAATGAAAACCAAAGTTACCACCATGAGTTCGGGTGCTCGAAGCTGAGTTGATGTAGAGAAGTTGCATGGAATGGGACGCTTGTGCCCAAAAGGCAAAACAATCTGCCCAATATCTGCTAAATTTGCTTAAATATTTGCCACCCTTTGCATGCAGCCAATCTCAGGGCTGACCCTATAGAAGCAGGGGGCCCTGGGTGATTTCCACTCCTGATTCCCAGAAGTTCCTCCACACTGTAAAACACCCTGGAGAGAAACTGAGAAGGAAGCCCGGGCTTTCTCTCTCTTACCAGAGAGAGATAAAAACCAAACCAACAACTCATTGGAGGAACCCAAGCCTGAGCGACCTAATGCCAAGAACACAATCTATTCCACCACACCCAGTCCCCGGCTCTGAAAAATGTTACCTGCCAACAGCCTCACAACTGCTCGAATGGAAAACTATTCTTAAATTTTCCAGACTCAAAGAGGCATGGTGTGCTGAGACGCAGGAACAGTGGGGTACGACAGAGCGAAGGTGGAAGCTGAGGAGACCGGGGTGGCAAGCGCAGGCGCTGAAAACTCCCGATAACTACACTGGCATCCCTCGTGGCCTCCACTCGGGCTGTCAACCGAAGGGCGTCACACCGCGCTTCTGCCAAGAGCTAATGGAACTGGATTCAACAACAGACGGTCTCAAGGCAGCGCGAAGCTACCAAGACAGCCAGGAAGCAAGGGTGGGGGCGCTGTGGAGACGAGGAGCGTGGACAGGAGAGCCTGACACTGTGATCCCCTGTCCCTCTGAGACCCTTGTCCATGTGGACACAGCGCAGGGCTGGACGACCGAGCCAAGCTACACGCAGCAGCCACAAGGGACGCGAGCCAAGGAGAGTCTTCAGCATCTGCCACAGTATCAGCGACCAAGGCTGTGACGGCTGAACTTGAGGAGCCGTGCTCCCAGGGAAAGGGGCGAGGCCCTGCAGTGAGGCCCTAGAGGCTGCTTTCCCTCCGCTTCAGCCTCCACTCCAGCTGCCTCCACACCAGCTGCCTCCAGTCCAGCTGCCTCCACACCAGCGGCCTCCACACCAGCGGCCTCCACTCCAGCGGCCTCCACACCAGCGGCCTCCACACCAGCGGCCTCCACACCAGCGGCCTCCACACCAGCTGTCTGCTGGAAGGGAGGGCACACTGCCCCAAGGAAAATAGCATCCACCCCTCTCATAGGCTGGAAACTCACAAGAGCAGGGCTCCCCAGCCCCCAGCTCAGGGCCTGGCGCAGGGTACATCTTCCATACATACTTATGAAGTAAACAAGAAAGCCCTTGAAATGTCCCGATTTAAAAGTTCTCTCTGTAAACACTGGCGTGATGGGCTGTGCTGCCCGGTGCCTGATGGGTCCGAAGGGTTGAAGTGAGTCAGGGGTAGTCCTAACTTTGATAACTTTAGTTAAGTTACTGAGCCACAGATTCCAGAGGGAAAATATTTGAAAATAAAACTACAGGTAGGCACACATCATAATAAAATTGCTAAAAATCAAAGGCCAAGAGAAAACTCTTAAGGGCAAGGAAAGGAAGGCACGTTACCCTCCCCCAAGGAAGCAGCAGGGAGGAGAAGACAGCCGGGCCCCGGGCCCGGGCCCGGGGCCTCGGGCTTCTTTGTTTTGGGAGGGAAGGGCCACCAGGCTGGGAGCAGATCCTGGGACATTGATTTTGGTGTCAGGAGGGTTAGGGAACTCCAAGCTGATCCTGTTGTTTTTGTAAAGTAGGAAGGGAGGCTCATTTGTAGAGAAGGAGGTGGGAGAAGGTTTGGAAAGACAGGGCATGTGGCCGTGGGGGGCAGGAAACTGAGGTGCCCAGAGAAACACCCCAGGATCAGGCCTGCTGGCCCCGGGGGCATGTTTGGGGTTGGGCAGACGGAACCCTCAGACACTCATGCTGGGCACCAGGGTTGCCCCTCTGCGAGTGCCGCTGTTGGGGTGCAGGTAGGGGAAAGTGTCAGCTGGCAGAGCCAGCTTGGCTCCCACAATTATAAAGCGTCCTGGAAGCACTATAATTACTCACCCTTCATTTTATAAGTAGATAAGCAGAGGTCAGGACAGATAGGGACCCACCCAAAAGCTGCCCAGCCAATCAGGGTAGAGCTGGAAGTGGACCTGGGTTCAGAATTCCCTGCCGGGTGCCTCTGAGTAATCCAGCCGCAGAGCCCGCTGCGCTGGGCAAAGTCCGGCCTCAGATAACCAGAGGACAGCAGGGCTGCCGCATTCCTTCTGGGGCGACCTCTGCCAGCCCTGCCGGGGAGGGCTCACTGGTTCTGTTTTTCCTGCAGCCGGAACAGAATCTTGGAACAAGCCGAAACTTTGAGCAGTGAATGCAGTTAACCAAGAGGTCCCAGTCCACAAGGGCAACTAAGAACCCGCCTTGGCTTTTGCAAGCGCATCGGCGCTGTGTGAGTTTAGAAGAAAAGTCCATCTGAGCGACAGCAAAGGAGAGGGGCCTGGAGCAGGCAGGGAGCACTGGGTGACTTTCTCTGAAGGTCACAAGTTATCTACCACGACTGCAAGCCAGGCCTGATGCCCTCTTATTTGATGAAGGCAGAAAACGAGGGGTGAACCGAAACCGCAGCTGTACTAAAAAAATTCTGCCCCGATCCCCGAGAGCAGGCCGAGGGCACAACTGCGGTGGCTCAGACGGCTGCTGCGGAGGCAGCCAGCCTTTCAGCTCCAGGCCCGACCCTTCGTGCCAGGTGACCTTGAGCTCCGTAGCCTCCGTTTTCCCACCTGTAAAGTGGGAATCTATTTCCTAGAGTTGGTATGAGGCTCGGTTAGTGCCTATAAAAAGACGAGAACCACGTCCATGCAGATTAAATGTATCAGCCTTTTGAAGACACCACACAACGTGGCCGCGCTCTGTAAACTGTGCAGGTCATCTCCTTTGATTTTCTTTCCTTTCTCTTTTCCCCTCTTTCCCTGTGAAATATACATTTAAAAGTATGTGTACCGAGCAGGTATAGTTAAATAATAACTATAAAATGGATATCCATGTACTCGCCACTCACATTAAGAAAAACATTAAGACCAGGGCCTTGGCAGTGCCCTCCTTTCTCCAGGCCCCTCCTGTCCTGTCCCTGAGTCAGTGCTGTTCCACTATTTTCTGTGAACCATCTTTGCTTCTCCCCCCCCCCATCTGCTTCATGTCCCCCCATTCACAATACAGATCAGGCGAAGGGCCCGGGCCGAGGTGTATACGGGGTGGGTTTACTCTGCCTCCGTTTCCTGCACGGTCAGGGTCAGAACACGGCCCGTGGTGAGCACCAGGAGGCCCATCCTTGCTTTTCTTTACGGTTTAATTACATAGCCATATATCCCCCAACAATACATTGGTTAGTTTTGCCCGACTTGGGAATTCATATCATCAGAATCATACTGTGTACATGTTCTCCTGTAACTTTCTCTTGATATTGTGTTTTTTAAATTCATTTATGTGGTCAGGTGTGGTTTTAGGTCACTCACGGTCACTCCCAAACAGAATTCCCCTGGATGCATAGGCCATCGTGTATCTTTTAACTCTTAACTGTTTTTCGTTTATTTATTTAACAAATGTGAGTAGACAGCTAAACAGAGTAAGCTGAGAAAAATCAGTGTACTCAGAGAAGTTTGGAAACACAGAAGGAAAACGAAGACTTCCCAAACCTCAGTGAGCTCTGCGTGACGGGTGGGCAAAGTCCCTACTTAGAGGTGACCCAAACGCCACGATAATGTCCCACATCTGAAGTTTACATTTAAAAGAAACAACTAGGAAGTTGGATTTTTACTTCGTTGATTAAAAATCTGCTCTCCCTCAAACTTAAGCCAACCTCGGCCGCTCTGTTTGATGGCGCTCCCTCGTGGGCCCATGTGGTCACTCCTGCCAATCACAGCGCCCTCACCAGCAGGGAAAACACCAACTGCCCGAGAACATTAATATCAATGCATTTCTTTTTAACCAGAGAAGTGTAAGCAAAATTGGAAATCAGGCAGGATCTTTAATATGGTTTCTTTTCTTCCATGAAAATGTTAAAAATGTATTTCTTGACTCCACCAAGCTCTAACTCCCTCTGATGATGGAGGGGTTTTTGTTTTGTTTTTTAAAAATAAATTGGGATTTTTCTTCTCACAAAACATTACGTTTATGGAGAAAACACAGAAAACACAGATGAGCCAAAATGTTATTTTTTTTAAGAAAAAAACATAACCCCACCATTCCAGGGTCATCATTTTGATCTAACCCTTTCCTCTGTTTTACAATGTCTACAATCCAATCATTTAATTTTTAAAAGTACTGTATGTACTACTATAATACTATCTTGTAACCTTATATTTTCCATATTAATATTCTTCAAACGTATTATTTTTAATAGCTGCAAGGTACTCTTTTTAATAAATGTACCATAATTTTTTTAATCAATTGCCATATTTTGGATATGTAGGGGTTCAGAACAAGTTACCCCAAGATGTGCCTCTGTGGTATGTGGGTTATTTTGAGCTAAAGGCAACCAAGGCCCTGGGTGCTTAAGTGAAACTTCTGTCCCTGTTAACTACCTAAAAAATTTAATTTAGGGGCTTTGTCCATAATAAGAAATTAACAGAGAAAAGCCTTTTGACCTTTCTCTATAGCAGGACAGACCACTAATTACTGGTCTTATTGTCCTTCAGCGACTTGCCTCCCCCTTGAAACCCCTGGTGCCTTCCCCTACCCTCAGCGCAGAATGTCATGTGCACCTCGATTTCCCTCTCTGTCTCTGAACCTCTTGTCTGTGGGATCTCTGATTCTCTTTTCTGTGGTGTTCCCGTATGTACGTACGTATGTAATTAAATTTAGTAATTTTCCCTTGTTTATCTGTCTCATGTAGATTTAATTATTAGACCAGGCGAAAGAACATTGAAGGGTAGGGGAAAGTTTCAGTTATTTTCAATTTTTCAAAATTAAAACAATTATAAACAATGTTGCCTTGAACTTCCACGTATGCACATTTTTGGCGACATTTATGATAAGTTTTAAAGCATATTTCCTAACTGAAGTCACTGGATTAAAGAGAACAGGCATTGTGTGACAGCTATTGCTGACCGCCCTCCAGCTCGCCTCGGCAGTGTCCAGGAATGCCTGCCCCCAAACCCTTGCCAACACCGAGCTGGATCATTTTTTACATTTGCTAAAATGGTTCCATAATAGTACTTGCTTTAATTTTGCACTGATTTAACTACTTGGGACGTTGAGTACTTCCCCTATTTATTGCCCATTTATATTTTTACTTTGGTACTAAGTAGAGATTTAATAGGCTTTTGCTCGCCCCAACTTCCTGTTTCTCAGAGAAGGGAAAGGTCTCAGGGGAAGGCTGCATCTTTGGGCAGAAGCAATAATCAGTTATTTGCTTTGTGGGAGTTTAGTTCCCTCAGACAAGCACTGCTTCAGTCTAAAGGGAACAGGTTAGGATTTAACACATGCCCGTTCAGTCTCGTGATGAGTGTTAGGGGCGCACTCAGAGACTTTAGAAAAGAGGGAGAATAGAGCTCTGCCGAATTCGCTGTGGTTTAGAGAAACTGTCCTAGGAAACAGGGTCTAAGACGAATGCACTCACCCACATCCCCTCCCTCCACCACCATCCCCTCTGCCTTGTGCAGGTTTTCCAGCTGTGCATCGGCCCCAAAGGAGTGAAGCTGGACCAGAAGGTGGGGTCAAGGAAACCTCTCAGTTTAAGAGGTCAATCAACCCCATGGGATAGTACAAAAAGCCTGGGCTTTGACTCACTCGGCCCCCTCTGTGAACCTGTTTTCCCATTGGTGGAATGACAATGGCATCCATCTTGAGGCTGCTGTGAGAGTGACTGGGAGGTGGAGCACCTTGCTCAGTAGTTAGTGCACAGTAGGCCTTCGATCGATGATAGCTATGACAAGGATTAATCTGTTCATTCCACAAATATTTACTGAGCGTCATTTAAGGATCAGGCACTGCTCTGGGCACTTGGCAATTACAATAGACAGTAAACACCAGGTAAACTAGTTGCACAGCTGCAGAAGGTGGTAAGAATGTGCATGAACACGGAGCAGGTAAGGACACAGAGCAGGGGAGCTTGGTGCCCGGGTGATGGAAGAGCCACAGAAACGCCCCAAAGCAGCTGTGAGTCTGACGGGTTGGGCCAGCGGGAGGCCAGTGTGGTTGAGTGGAGTGAACAGAGGAGAAGGTGGTAGCAGCTGGGGTGGGAGGTTAGCTCATGTAGGGCCCCGAGGACCATTTGTGGGATGGGTCTCTGCCTGTGTGTTGGTTTCCGGGCATAGAAAGTCATGGCCCAGGGAGGAGCTCAGAGCCAGCCTAGTGGGACCCTGGGCAGTTCAGGGGAAGCTGCCCCTCGGGCTCTCCTGGAAGGTTTAGCCTCAGGATCAGTCTTATAAAGGCTCAAGCTGGCTGAATTCCTTGGGGTCCCTCATCACCTAGAGCAGAGGCCAGGTGAGTCAGTCTTAAAAAAGTCTCCCAGAAGCCACCCCTATGGTCTCCCTGACTCAAACTCACCATAAGTTTCAACCCTAGGAATGTTCTAGAGCTGCCCTTGCCTATCTGGCCCTCAAAGTAGTGTTTCCTCAGGACTTCATTTTTCTGAATTATTCTCAAGGATAAACAATGCCTCCTCCTGAAGGTGCTAGGTCATCCATCAACCCAAGCCCCAGGCAGGGCCACCCCAGACTCACAACCTTAGGGCATCCAAGGAGCGGAGGGCTGGGCTCGGCAGCTGAATTCAACTGTGTGTCCTCAGCAGGAGCTAGGAGGGACCCACCAGAGGACTGTGTGAAGCGCATTTGCATTTCAGGGTATCGTGGTCCTAGACAAACGTGGACGCACGGACATGTTTGATAACTGGATGCAGACATGGATCTTTTCCCCAGGGAGTGCTCAGAGGCATGATATTTTGGATACTGTTCCAGAAGGAGCTAGAATGTGAACCAAGAAGTTGCCTTCTAGAAGTTGAGCTCTTAACCATGATATTATGCCACAAAATTTTTGCATGGATTTCATTCTCAAAGCAGCCCAGTGAAATAAAAAGAACAACTTTGATACTGGTTTCCTTGAGGAAGATTCTGAGGGTTAGAGAGTTTTTGGGATGATTTAAGATCATTTAGTTAGTTAAAAGGCTATGATTGTAATTGAGGCCTCTTTTAGGCATAAAGCGATCATTTGTTTAATGCTTTTGAATAAGAAAATGAATAAAAAACCTGCTTATAAAGACACTAAGTTTAAAGCATCACAGAGCAATCTTGAGAAAAAAGAGCAAAGTCAGAGGAATTAAACTGCCTGAGTTCGAGACTTACAACAAATCCAGTCATTAGGACATGAGGATGGACAAAGAAAGAGATCAGTGGAGCAGAACAGAGAACCCAGAGAAAGAGCCACACTTCGTCCAGCAAAGCCACTAAAGCCAATGGAGAAAGAAGAGTGGTTTTTCTGTCTGTTTGTTTTTAAACAAATGGTGCTGGAATAACTGGGTATTCATATGGGGAGAAATGAACCTCAATCTCTACCTTACATCATTCACAAAAATTAATGAGTTGGGTCAAGACCAATAAATAAAAGCTAAACTTTCATAATGTTCTAGAAAAAATCGTAGGATATCTTTATGACTTGTGAGTAGCCGAGACAGAGAAATAACCATAAAGTAAAAACTTAATAAACTTCATCGAAATGAAAATATTCTCACCCAAAGACACCATTATATATTATTCATTACTCTCTGTATATATAAAAATGTTCACAATAAGATGCTGCGAAAAAGAAAAGCCATCATCAAAGGAGAGCGGGGTTTTCCCCAGACCCCCGTCTCAGTGAAATGTCACCTCCAGGCCCTATGGTCACATTCCGGTCCATCCGACAAGACAGCACTCCCTCCCTCCCTTGCTGACCAATCCAATTCGACATCATGACGACAACCACGGCCCACGTGTCAAGGGTCTCACACAGACACTCACCTGTCTCAAGCCTCCTGAGAATAAAGTGCTGGGCGTTGGGCTGGATGAGAGATCTTGCTTCAAAACAGGGTTCGTGGGGCGTTTGGGACTCTCCTGACTGAGAGGCATCAGGATATCCGGTGCACTGACCTTCTGGAAAAGGAAACAGAATGAATCACAGAGTCTGCATCCCAGTTTGATTGTGTTCAAATGCGGTGACTTTAGCAAGCACAGCCTGCATCTGTTCCCCGATGGCAGTAATGTGCACACTCCAGGTGCTCAGTAGGAGGCGCACTTCCAGTGAGCAAATCACACACGCGTGCACACACATGCACACACACACACCCACGCACACACTCACTCATGAGCCCCGATGCAGACGTCGCCAAGCTCTGGGATTTTCACGAACAGTAATGGGTGGGTTACTTAGGGACTAGTAAAAGTCTTAAAGAAATTGAAGTCCACATTTTGGCCTGAATAATGATCCTGGCATTTAATCACATGAAAGATAACAGTCACCCAGTAGCCAGAGTTTCTGCTCAGACAAAAAAAGAAACTTATCAAAATATATCTCTGAATCTTACAAAAATACTTTTTATAAGAAGTGGGTACTTCTCTAACGTACACAGCTGGACTCTCCACGTATGGTACCCACACATGGCTATTTAAATTCAAGTTCTAATAAATTGATATAAAGTAAAATTAATACATTCAGCTCCTTGGCTGTCCTAGGCACATTTCAAGTGCTCAGTAGCCACACGTGGCCAAGGCTGGGAAGTTCTGTGGGGCAGTGTTAGTGCAGAAATATGAACACAGAGGGCAAGGTGGGGAAAGCTCTCCTAGCTGAAGACACGTTTCCGAATCGAGACATTATTTTTACTCTGGTTTAGAAGTAGAACTTGAAAATACAACAATCACACCACAGCCATAATTTTCCGGAATAAAAAACTAAGTGAGAAGTTTAGAGAACAAATGTAAAGAATGATTTCCTCCAAATTACTGGTTTTGCCCTCAATCCCCAGAACATCAACTCAATTCCATCAGTCAGCAGTTAAGCAACACCATGTCCAATCCACCCCCGAGTCCTGGGGGCAGAAAGAGGAGGAGAGGGGAGAAGGCGAGGGAGGAGACGATGCAGTCTGTTGTCTGAGGTCTCCCCAGCTCGCAGGGAACAGACACACGAGCCAAGTCAATGGGAAAGAGGGGGAGCTCATGCCAGAAGGGGGTGCCTGGGATGATCGTCAGTGGGAGTGGGGTGAAGGCTGGCTGGGGAAAGACCCCAGGTAAGGCACCCGCGTGGAGGGGCTATCATCATGGTCAAGTACGAAGCGTGTTCTCAGATCTGCTAGAGACCCACGCAACTGCAGAGACTCCAGGGCCGGGCAGAGCCTGACACAAGGTCATGCACACAGTGAGGCGGGAGGTTGCCCAGAGCACAGGCAGCTCTAAGGGGAGGGCACAGGAGGGGCGCCAGGGGGCTGGGAGGGCTGGAGAGCCAAGCGGAGGACTTCAAGAACGAAGGGTGTTCAAAGAGAAGAAAAGAGTGTGAGAAAGATGAAGAGCTGCAAATTTTTGAAAATCACCTATCAGATGAGAAAATATTAACATAAAAAAGTATACAGTTTGGTGTTGGCAGGAGTGCTGGCGGGTGGGCTACTCTACCTCTATGGTCGAGTAAACCAAGGCAGCCTCAGAGGAGGGCGCTTTAGCAGCATGAATCAGAAGCCCTAAAATGCAGCAGTTAAAAATAGCAATGGCCCTGGCCAGTGTGGCTCAGTGGTTAGAGCACTGGCCCACAGACTGAAGGGCCCTGGGTTCGATTCCAGTCAAGGGCACGTACGTTGGCTGCACCCTCGATCCAGGAGGCAACCAATTGCTATGTCTCTCTCACATCAATGCTCTTCTCCCACTCTCTCTGAAAATCATAGAGAAAAGGTCTTCAGGTGAAGATTAAAAATAAAAAAATTTAAAAATGGCAATATATATTTGTTGACATGGAAAGAATGAAAACATAATGTTAGATTTTCTTTAAAAAGCAAGTTACAGAGGTGGGTGTGTGGCACGAGGCCGTTTTTGTAAAGCGCGTGCACACGTGGCTTCCAAGTGGCCGTGCTTTTTAACCGGACAAGGGAAGAAAAAATAAAACGGAGCAAAATATTTAACAACCAGCTTTGTGCCTCCTGGGCACTCAGTACGCAGCCACCTAATTCCGCCTTCTTTAAGACAACACAGTTTTTGAATCATAAAAAGATTGATGACAGAAAGTTCTGGAAAGAACAAGAGAGCTGTCTTTACAGTAGCGACCAGAGGACATGTCAAAGTCACGGCCAGGGAAGGCCACGCTTCTAAATGTGTTTGGTTCCTGGGAAACCGGTAATGAAGCAGAAATGCAAATATATACATTTCAAAAGGATTAGAAAGTCGATCCTATTTTGAAGGTACGCCTATTTTGACTGACTAAGGAATCCAGCTTGACATGTTGTGTGACCACTTCCCCAGTAAGTGCTGAAGGACTCGGATGACTTTGTCCCTTCAGTGCCTTATTAAAGGGCATCAAGATCCAAATAGCAGCTAATGAGTCGTCGTAAGCATGTCCAGCCAAGAGCGTGGCAGCGACGTGGACCCTCGCAGGACAGTGTCTGCACAAGGGGGGCTCTGCGGCTGTGGCCTCCCCTGACCTCCTCCCTTGCGCCTGTGAGGTCCCTCGTCCCATCGGACAACCCTGAGGCTGCCCGGCAGGCTTGTTCCAGGTGCACGTGAAGCTGGGGGGATGCCACGGATGCCGGGTTACGCGGGCTGCTGAAAGCCAAAAGCTAAGCGTGTGGATGGTTGGGATGTCCCATCAGGGGCAGTGACATCAGGACCGGGACACGTGCAGGTCCACACACGTTGCTGTGGCCTCTCCCAGCAGATGCTACAGGGGTGGTCCCTGCAGCAGGCTCCGCCTGGCCCTGCCCCTTCCCACCACATCACACTCGGGCGTCTCTTTGCCCCAGAGTCCTAATCTTTAATGGGACAGCAGAACACCGACTTCACAGGGCTGTTTTAAGGATTAAAAAGTTAACACACCTGTAAGGGCTTTACACCAGGAACCGGGCCTGGGAGCCCTTGGCCCCGTGTCAGCCTCAGACAGGCTGCGCCCCACCCAGGAGAAGAGGGCTGTTGCTGAGTCCAGAATCACCTGAGCCCCTTTCTTCAGCAGAAAGAACCTCATCTGCCCTCCTCACGTGGGGCGTGCAAAGACGTTAGGAGCCTGGAATTCAGAGCCCTACAAACCTGGTCTGCTCCTGGCTCCGCCCTTATGAGCTACGTGATGCTAGACAAGCCAGTTAACCTCTCACTGACACTCAGGTTCTGGATCTTTATCACGGGAGTAACGAGATCTTTCTCGGTACTTTTGCAAGACTTAAGTGGGATAAGCATGTAAGAAACGCTGCCATCATGCCCGGGACATGATGCCTCTGGGTGCCGATGACCCTGTCCTCTCCGCTGACGCAGGACAGCGGTCGGATGGTGCTGACGTGGACCCTGGGATCCAGCAGGAACTGACGCTCGTTCATACTCTAGAGTTGCAAAGGCCTTCAGACACGTTCCACACGCTCTAGACCCTGCGCCTAAGCGAGGTCCGGGGGTCAGCAGCATCCCCAGCTCCTCAGAAATGCAGCTGAGAGCCTGCATCGCGTGCCTGCCCAGATCTGCGGGGCCAGAACCTGCATTCCAGCGTCCCAGCGACTCCCGCGCACACCGACTCCGAGCATCGCTGCCCCAGCCCAGCCTGCAAACCAAAGCTGTCCGCCCCTTTCCGGTTACGTAACCAGGGTCATGTGATATAATCTCTCAGCCCCAGCTGCCCTAAATGTAACATAGGGTAACAGGGCCAAATACCTGCCTCATGGGGTGGTGTGAGGGTAAAATGAGACAGCCCAGGTAAGGCTCTGAGTTCAGAGTCCGGGCATAAAAATCAATGCTGGCAATTTAGATCCTATATTTGGATAACTTAGCAATTCAGATACACTATGATCTTAGGGGGTCTCTACGAGAAGCCTGTGCCCTGTCAGAGCAGGGGGCAAGCTGGGGCTGAGGCGTGCCGAGACCTATCTGCCCGGGGGGAGTGAGCTGAGGCAGGCAGGTTGTGAGATCCTGAACGTGCGTGCGTGTGCGTGTGTGTCCCAGCAGGAGAGTGGGGCTGACCTCAGCCCTTTGCCTAAAGCATAGTCTGTCTGGGGACTTCTTGGATGGAGGCCAGAGCTGCAGGGAAGGGGCACCTGTCCAGCTAATCAGAGTTATTGTAAGGACCCTATAAACAACCAACTGGTGGCACCTGCCTTAGCCTGCTCCCTTCAGCTGGACTCAAATCCAGGTTTTCTGACGCTAAGTCGTCCCAGGCTTGGGACATCCTGGCAGAAGGCCAGCGTAATTCTGTCCCTAAAAGTCCTTACTAGGCGAGCTCTCTCTGTGGGTTAGATACCTGGAGAGTCACCTTCATGACTGTGTCTGATCACATGGCATTAGGTTTTCACTTGTAACAGAGACCAGGGCAGGTTTTAAGCAGAGGTTGTCAGGAGTGGAAAGTAGGAATCTCTCTGGACTCTCAGCGAGGGTACCTGCAGGCCCCAGGAACCACTGGGCAGTCTCCGCCCCGCAGCGAGGCTTGGGCCTCTGCCATGGCCTCGAAGCCAGCAGGGATCCCCGGGGATCTCAGGGGACTCGGGGAACCCCTAGGGACTTGGAATGAGGCTGGAGTCCTTCCCTGTTCTGAACTGTTTTCCAAACTGACCTTGAATTTTGACCTTCATTTGGCCCGGCCTCCGCACAGAGAGGAGTTTATTATTGTGTTTTCAGACTGCTTAATGCTTTGTTATAGAAGAAAAGGAAACTAAATCTCTAGAGAAAAGCAATTCTGTGGTGGCCCGGCGGCCCGGGGAGTACCCTGGTGGTGACGTTGATGGCGGTGTCAGACTGGCTCCTCCGCTCCGTCCTGCCCGCAGGCTGCCTGGAGCTCGTGCTTAGGAGTTGCTTCTCGGAGGTCATGTCATTCTGGGACTTGGAGATCTCTAGAAAACAAATACAGAGGGTGACAGGTGGGCATGCACAGCTTTCCTGAGACCTGGGGAGCCCTGAGGATTCCCTCAGCCACAAAGAGGGCCCAAGGTCCCATGAGGGCAGGTTAATGGATGGGCAAGGGCGCCCAGCACCAAGCTGGGGGAGCTCGGATAAACTAGGGGTCTCCAGATACCACTGGGCTCATGGCAGAAGAGCTCGGGTCGTAAAAGGTGACTGCATGACCACACCCCTCTGTGGGCTGAGGGCCACCATCCTGCTGGACAGGCTCCACTGGGCAGCATCAGCTGCCAGAGTTGCCATTCTGGAGCTTCAGGCCATGGTCCCCTCCAGCCACCCCCATGCCCCAGGGGCCACCAGAACAAAGCTTTCCTCCCTACTCACTTCTGTGGGAAACAGGCAGCAGAAAGGAACGAGAGAGAGATGGGTCAAACAGAACCAAGACCCGAAGAAACATGATCCAGCCCCACCAGGTGCTTCGTGTCCCAGGGCAGAGACGGGGTGCGGGGGCAATCGGCCAGGTGCCCGTCCCTTCAGGGCCAGCAGGAAGGACCAGGGAAAGGGGGAAAAGGTCTTGGGGGGCTGTCATGCCCAGGGGCTCAGAAAGCTGGGTTTTGCTGTCCCTGTGTCTGGGCTGTGGGCTCGGTGTCCTGTGAGGGAGCAGTGCCTGGACAAGCAGGAGGGGTTGCAGGTTGGGGTTTCAGTCCATGTCCCATGGCAGAGATGGGACCTGCTTGAAGTCCCTCCAGGGATTGCTCTAGCTGTCCAGCTGGGTCTGCAGCTCTATAATCACGACATGGTCACAATTGGGCACTAAACTGGCAAGTCTCAAACGTGTGACATGTACAGGCCAGGGAACGGGGCACAAGCACACCAAGGAGCCCCATGTGGGTCCCGCATGGAGGACGCCCGCGTGACTGGGACCGGATGAGCCACGCGTCCTGCCTCCCCGGGGTTGAGCTGAGGGACTGCAAGGTCCGAGTTCACTCTGAGGGGCGACTCCAGGGCGGCAGCGGTGAGGACATCACACGGGCCACACAGACTGGGGGGGCTGCACATTCAGAAGGAGCTGCAGAGACATCTGCCTCAGGGGCCGCAGGAGAGGAGCCGGCTGCAGAGCGCAGGCACTGCCACAGAGGAAACCGTGTCCCGGGCTGGTGCACACAGGGAATGGGCGTCCACCCAGAGCCTGACCGAGTGACAGGGGTGTTTCTAAACCTCCAAGTCTACTAGCAAACAGGCCATGCGATTTGGCCGCTCCCCCCTTCTGAGCAGAGGGGGACAGACTGTCACATGTCACTTCTCTGCTTATCTGAAAAGCGGTTTTTACTTTGATTGTTTTGGCTACAGCTCAGAGGGGCTCGTGGGAAATACAGAGGACTAATTAAAATCAAATAAGGTTGTCTCGGGCCAGGTGCAACACTGAGACCACCCACGTGCCACTGCAGAGAAAGGGGTGATGGATGGAAGCCACACAGAAGCAGCGAGAGAGAAGGGACACCGAGACCCCGATAGCACTAAGGAGCTGCCTCCTCTAGATGCCTGGCTGCTCTGGGCTCCTCAGGAGGCCAAGGCCCGGCCTGTCCTTGGACTTATTTTAAAGTAAACAGGAAGAAACATCTGAGCACAAAGAACATTGAGCGAATGAGATTTTTAAGCAGTAGTTCTGGGTTTCTTTCAATGAGCATGATTACTGCTAATTGAAGAAAATAAATTTACCCAGGAGGAAAGGAGACAAGTAATTTCAAACAAACGACAGGTTCAGGGCCCCGCCTGGCCTGGGAGGTGCTGGTTTTGGATGCACCGGAATCGAATCCCTCCGTTTTCAAGTTGGTCCTTGGGAGAAGCTGGGATGGGTGCCAGCGCCAACAGCGAGCTCCCCGCCCCAGGGAGCTGGCTGGGGCTGCTGGCGCAGGAGTGGGAGGGAACGGAGCTGGCCCAGTAAACTGAAGGGGTCTCCTCTTCCCCAGGGACCCGGAGGCCTGCTCTGTGGGTGGCGGGGTGAAGGCCGGGGGCTGGGGCTTTCCCCAGAAGCCAGAGGTAGAGAGGGCCCTGTCACAGCCAGGCCTGTGGGCTTGTCCAGCCCAGGAAGTGTGGGAAAGAACACAGGAAACACGAGGAGAGGCATCTACTTACTTTTCATGTGGGTGGTAACAGACAGAAACAAATTTTCCACGGACTTATTAAATCCTTTAAACTGACGAAGTTCCTGTAACTGAAACAGAGATGGGGAGAGAGGATGAGAGATGTCTGATGGCCTGTGTTGGCCCCAGCAGCCTCCAGGCCAACCCCCAACACCAGCAGGCGTGTGGTGTGGGCGGGGNGGGGATGCGTGCCTGCAGGGGAAGGAGGGGGGGAGAAAAGCACAGGTGTGCTCCCCAGGGGCAGGGGCAGGGGCAGGGGCCCTCTTTACTCAGCTTCTCTGAGTTTTGACATCTCATTAAAGGCAGAAGCTTTATCACGGGGTTGTTGATAAGGTAACAATGACCTCCGAGAAATGACGACCGACACTTCATTGGCTTAAGGATTGTACCCAAGTTCCCTGCTTCTTTAACCTCAACGCCACACAGAGGGGACGCCAACACAGGCAGATGCATGTGCCACGGGTTGACGGTGGAGCAGGCACAAGGTGGCCAGCCTGAAGCCAAGGGTTAGTTCTGCCTCCAAAAGTGAAAGAGGGAAGAAAAAGAGAAAACAGCAGAAAGGGGATCACTTTCCTCCACAAACCTCATTCACTCATCTGTCCACCCAGCCGTCCATGCATCCATCCATTCATCTGTCCATCTGTCAGTCCATCCATCTATTCATCTGTCCCTCTGTCCATCTATCCATCTAATCCATCCACCCACACATCCATCCGTCCATCCATCCATCCATCCATCCATCCATCCTGTAACTATGTCCTGAGCACACTGGTGTTCAAATAGCTTTGGAGAACTTAAAATCTCAGGGAGAGTAGAGCAGGATTTTGAAGGTCACTCCAGCGTCTCAGTTTGAAATCGGAGGCAGTATGTGCCTCTTTTCTCTGCCAGCGGATGTGCGAACCCTTCCCCATGTAGACAATCACTCCCTGGCATTTACAGAAGAGTGAGAATGAAAGTCATCAAGGCCAGGCGTCTCCATGGCACCTCTGTTTCCAAGCGCCAGCATGGGCATTGTTTCGTTACTTTCTCACACCAGTCGTGGGAGGCAGGCAGGTGAGTACAATTACTTCCGCCTCCCAGGTGGGAACCCAGGGAACTCCCCCAAAACCACACGGCTAATTTCTCTGGACAGAAATGGCCTCAGTCTACATTAGCGCCTGCAAACAATCAGAAGACACACACACATATTTCCAGGGGCACCCCCACTCTCACACTCCTGTGAATCAACCTGCTTTCCCCTTAGACCCCTAGGGACCCTCAGACATGCTGAGCCTCAGTGGACCCCTTTGCCCATGGGCCCAGGGCACAGTTAGGGAAGAAAGGCCATGAAAAGACAGGGAAGAGATGGGGATGGGAGTACAGGCAAGGACGAGGGGTGCAGGCGAGGACATGGGGTGCAGGCAAGGATGTGGGGGTTCAGGAGAGGACATGAGGCGCAGGCAGATGAGTCAGTTGTTAATGCAGATGGTCCGGGGTCCCCAAAGCCTGGCGGCAGCACAGATACCAGGCAGACCCAAGCTCTTCCTGTGCCCCAGGCGGCCCTGCATTCTCTGCCTCACTCATGACCGATCCAGCCACAGGTGGCTCCCTCTGCAGTGAGACTCTCCCCCCAACCTCCCAGCCCCTTCTTCCTCTACCCATCCTTCCTGGGGAACCCACGGAGCAGACACATTACCCTGCTGGGGCTGCTGCTGCACCAGCTTTCGCTGAGCGGAGGTGGAGTGGGAGGAACCACGGAAATTTTGCTGCCGAGGAAAGGCACAGGAATAAGAAATGGGTTATAAACAAGGCAAGAATTAGTCTTACAAGCTCACAGAGTCATCACCACCCACAATTCAGGTTCTCTACAGTTGGGGATTGTTGCTGGCTTGTTTTTACTTCACTTTTTAGCACATCCCCTTGGACCTGCTGCTCGGCGCAGGGCATCATGTCCCTGGATCTGAATGTGGGAACCGAGCAGCGCACAGGCCAGTGTCTGGCGTGCCGGTCACCTGTGCGTCCTGTGACAGCTGGCGAGCCCAGCGCCCGGCTGGCGGCCTGGCTGCTCTGGAATCCAGACGCCACGCGCGTGTTCCATATGGACCTGCGTGTCCTCTCAGTGGGAACCACACGGGCAGAAGTGCCAAAAATGTCGTGGATGTAAAAACCAAGCATGAGGGAAATTAGAAGCTTGTGTGAAAAGCAGTGAGGAGAAAAAACAGGGGAGTAAAAAATGAAAAAGTCCCGAGATCAGAAAATCTCATCGTGGCCAAAAAATAGCTGCTGGCGGGCAGCTTCCAGGAACACTTCAGTGAATTCAGGGGAACCAGCTGTGTGCCTGTGGGCAGCGCCACGGCTGCTGCTGTTCAGAATTTGTGTAATGAAGTTTACATCGCTCGGGCCATTACTCAGGCCCGCCGATGTTCATTCCGCAAATGTCTAGTACGTCAGGCACTGGGCAAGATGTTAGAGACATGAATGATTCATAAAAGCAAAGGCTCGGTTTAGAATTTCATTGAGCGTGCCATCAAAAACAATACTTTGTTTCCTTAGGACATTTCAGGAGAATTTAAGAAACAAAACAAAACAAAACGTCTAGTGAGAAAATAATATGCTAGTTTCTAGAAGGCTTTTCATAAGAATCTGGAAATATCTCAGAATCTTTTCCAGGTACTTTATTGTTAAAAAAAACCCACCCAGTTACATTCCAAAGCAGTGACTTCTGAAAGTCAAGAAATGTGTAACTTCGTTAGCGGGTGCTTTGTGTTCTAGGGCAGCCTGTCTCTCTACAAAACTCACCTCAGTTTCTGATAAGATTGCAAGAGCTTTGCTCCAGCTGTTTCGCGTCGGCCTGGAGGAGATATCAGCAAAGGTCACTATTAGTAAGAACATTACTCAGCTGTTGCATATACAAAAGTAATCAATGGAAATGATTCTTTTTCTAAAGTCACTTCTTATGATTAAAATGTAAGATTTGGGGGGGATACTGATGCTCTAAAATTAGATTGTGGTGATGGCTGCATAACTGTAAATTTACTAAAAAATCATTAGATTATACATTTAAAAAAGGGGAAATGTATGCTATATAACATATATTCCAATAAAGCTATTGTTACACACACCCACACCCACACCCACACCCACACAGCTGGGAATGACTGCTTTTATTAAAAGTTGATGTTGGATTAGATTTTCTAAATCTGGAGAATTTGAAAAATAGTTCAGGCTTCCAAGCTTCTATTTGTTCTTTGGAAATATTTTATAATTGAATGACTATATTCCTTTAAGTGTTCTTTGTTATGGAGATTAAATTAATCTTTTCAAAAATGTAATCTACTTATTTCTAGTTATAGAGGCTAATAATTTCCTAAACAAGACAGCATCTAATATAGAGCTCTTTTTGTTTCAAGGAAAGGGGATTTATGATGTATTAAGACCCCAAAATAGAACTCTATGTGTTCAGAGTTCTGTGAACACAGTGTTTCCTGGCCCAGTGCATAGAGGGAGGTCAGCCCCCCCAGCCTGGAGGATGGAAGGCAGAGTCCCCTGCTCGGGGACTTCCCCAGAGGGTCACGCTGCCGGACACGCAGCCAGAGCCACCCAGTCTGCCATCCCAGGGAGATCTAGCTCCTGTCTTGAACGTTCGGGTGGTTTGAATTCAAAGAAAGGCACGTATGCAAATCCTCTCCGTAAGACAGGAGGAGGGGCAGGGATGATAAGAGAATCAGGATGGGTAGGGAGGCCTTTGGGAGGGGGGGAGACAGTGTCTGATGTTAAGCCAGGAGGCAGCTGACCCCTGACCCCCAGCCGACCCTGAACTGTGCAGCCCTGGGTCAGGGTCCTCCACTGTACACATTTTTCTGGGGTTCACAGTGGTGTTCATCAGATTCTGAAAGGGGTCTGTGACCCCCTCCTCCCCTTTGAAGAAATACTCCCTAAGAGAGCGCTAAACTAGCAACACCAGCTTATAATGGTGGAGCCCACGTCTGCAGAAGCCACCGAAAGAAAAGGTCTAGGCCAGGAGCAAAAAGACAGCCACCTAGCTGCATCATGGTGGCTGTGACAGCAGAAAAAGACGGGCAAGAGGAAGAAAAAGTTAGCAACATTGTGTATCCAGCCTGTCCCGGCAAAAACGCAGAACTCAAGGCACAGTGAGCCCTGAGCCCTCCCTCGGTCGGGCTGTGTCACGGTGCACTGCGGCTACTCTGCCTTCATCATCTTGACCCAGGATTGTTTGTTGCAACAGCGTCCCAGAGGCACAGCCACCGGACTTACAGTCTGACCCCTAGATGTGACACTATCACTCTACCTCCTAAAGTCCTTCAGTGGTTCTCTACTGCCTTCTCCTAAAGTCCCAGCCCTGCACGTTCCTGGGCATCCATACCCCACCTGGGCTCACCTCTCCACCCTGCTCTCCAACACCCTGCAGGCCTTGTCTTTCTGCTCCAGCAGCAGAGTAGCTTCTTATTTCCCTACTTACCCTGGGCCTTGCCTAATTACTTGCCCCCACTTCATCTTGTGCTAATTGCCCCGGCATTTCTATCTCAGGCCCACATCTCCATCTGAATCCTCAGCTTCGCCTCCCTCTGTCACATTTATTCTAACTACCATCCCTGAGGCCCGGGGAAAGCCCGGCTCTCAGCACTGGCGCAAGAACAGCTCTCTGCTGCCCTCTGCTGGCTATTGCAACCTTGGGCCTGTGGGGTGGGGGCACCCTTTCCATAAAGGTCAAATAGAAAACATTTTAGGCCCCTGCCATGCAGGGTCTCTGTCCCAACACTTCTCTCTGCGTGACACTGTTCATGGGAAAAAGGGTGCAGGGCAACTCGGTCAGCAGCCACGTCATGCTGCTCACAGGCGGCTGAGGGGCCACACACCCTCAACTGTGGGGTCTGCGTGGTTAGTTTTCCCTGACCACAAACTTCCCCTCCTACTGTGGGCCCCCAAGCAGCCTTCATAAGGACACCCACACCCAGACAGCAGTGGCGCTAACAGAAAGGCCATTGAGCAGAAGGGTGGCATGGCCCACAGCCAGCTCTCTGCCGGTGCCCACGAAGCAGAGCAGCATCCCCTGTAGGAAACCGGAGCGTGGGGGTGCAGGTGGACCCAGAGCAGAGCACAGTTGTGTCCCCACATGGAGCCTGTGCACGTGGGCCCTTCCTCAGGACGGTTCACGTTCACCCCTGGGAGTCAGTGTAACATACGGATTTTGTCCGAACTACACACTGCATCTTCCAGAAAAATCATCTCAGTAAACACACAACGTAGGATGTTTGATGTGAGCAGCACCCCTGAGATGGGGCTTCCTCGTGCAGGGCCCAGCCTGCACAGCTGTATGCAGCAGCCCTGAGCGGTGGCCCACGCACGAGCTTGAGTGTCCTCCAAACTGCCAGAAACAGGCAAATAAAACCAGGGGTTGGAACGGGCTTTGGACAGTTACAGAGTGTTTTAGGAAAACAATGTCGTTTTACACCAATCTTTGGCTCACATAGGCAAAATGGGAAATCTCTCAAAAAACTTGACCTAAAAATCCCTGGTCATGTAAAGAATCATAGTATCCTGCCATAAATGGGCTCAGACTTGGATTCCAGAGCCTTTCTAGGTATATTTTGATCCTTTGAGAAGTTTCGAGCTTAGGTAGCACTGGGCCCAGATACTAGCCCAGGAAGAAAGGAGAGAAAGTGCACAACTGTGAATGGGCAGCCAATGCCTCCCAGAGCACAAACATCAATAACAGACTTATAGAAAAACAAGCTGGCGGCGCAGGCAGGGAACAGCTGTGCCCGCCGCCTTCCGCAACCACATCAGAATTACAACTAAAACCCAGAACCACCATCACTCAGAACCTCCTGAAACCTGGCTGAACAGAAGCCCCACAACCAGGGAACTGAAGCAGCACCAAGAGGGGGAGGAGGGGCGGAGACGCACGTGGATTGGGGCCGAATCGCGGAGTTGGGGCCGGGGGCCCACATCCAGTGCTGCGGTTGAAACCCGGGAGGGAATCTCAGCGGTGGGGGTTTCCCGGAGGAGGGAGGGGTCCCAGCCCCACAGCAGGCCCCCAGCCCAGGGCTCCAGGGCCGGGAAGAGATGTCCCCACAACCTCGGGCTGTGAAACCAGCAGGGACTGTCACTGAGGGTCGCGGAGGCTGCGGGAGCCTCAGGCTTTCCTCTCAAAGGGCCCGGCATGGACTCACTCGGACGCTCCCTCTGAGCCCAGCGCCGGGCAGCAGCCTGAAAGGACCCGGGACGCTCGGGGAGGAACTAACCTGCTTGAAATTGGGGTGAGAGCTGGAGGGGCGGCTTCCTCCCAGGCGGAGGCCATGGCTCCTGTGGCGAGTCCTCCCCACACACAGCCGGCAGGCAG